GATTATCCCAGCAGACATCAGGGTGGTTGAAGTCCCCCATAAGGGCCAGGGCCTGGGATCGTGAGGCTTCTTGCAGCTGCCTGTAGAAGGTCTCATCCACTTCCTCTCCCTGATCAGGTGGCCTGTAGTAAACTCTCACAACCGTGTCGCCCCTGTTGTCCTGCCCTTTAATCCTCACCCACAGGCTCTCGACCCGCGCTTCGTCCTCCCCTATGCTGAGCTCCATACCTTCCAGTTGCTCTCTCATGTAAAGAGCAACTCCGCCATCTCGCCTTCCCGGCCTGTCCTTCCTGAAAAGCCTAAAGCCATCCATGGCCACATTCCAGTTATGAAATGTCCAGATATTCGATACTGTTCTACAAGGCTGGATACCACGAGCATGCGTTTTCCTAACACAAAACCACAAAAACATCTAATAAAAATATATATTAGAAACTTCTGTTGCCTAGGTAAAAACGTTTTAGAGGGACAAGAGCAGTTGCTTTTATTTATATATATATTTAAAAAATGAAACTAGATTCTAGAAAACAGTCAGTCAATGGTTGTTAAAATATTTAAGTATCTTTGGGAATACAGGGCAGAAGAATAACAAGAACCTATTAAAGCCATCACATGCAATCTGCTGTTCTCATAAGTCATTGCATTACATCAGTTTCAAAAAATAATTGAGTTTGTTTCTCCTGATGACATAGCTACTCCTGAGATAATTTTAATTCACCCAGCAAAAACCCAGGCCAGACTTTCATGAACAATACATCCAATTATATAATAGCTAGTGCTAAGAACGCTTTGAAACAATAAAACTCTTGAAGGAGACCGCGTGCCCATAACTAACTGCTTGAAAGAACCACCACCATTCATTTCTCCACCATAGGATTTTGCAAATTCTTAAGCATCTCTCACTCATCTCTGCTGGAGGTTGTGTATCAGGCAAGCTCAACAGTCTAACCCATTACTGCAGTTCCTGGATTCCCAGTAATTCTAGCCAGAGATCCTTACACAAGGAAAAAATACCATCATTCACACTTTTTTTTTAACACCAGCTCGAGTGGATATTAGAACTAGCTTATATGGACATAGTAACCTAAAATAATAATAAAAATAAAAATCTCCCCCTGTAAAAATTACCTTGGCAGTTGAGATATTAAAATGCCATTTAAGTTGTGCTCCTACTCTGAAGAGATCTCCAGCTGAATATGGAGGTAGCCCATGTTTAGTATTTCTCAATGAATAAGTGCACTAAATTTGTAATTAAATGTATTTGTCACCTGTTTTGACAGTTCTGCAGTTCAACCTTGACTTTTGTCAAATGCTATTTTTTTTCTGCTCTATGCATCATCACTCTAAGGAAGTTCTCAAACTCTTCCCAGTTTGGTATCATCTGCAATGATGCTGGTCCTACCTACAAAACCATATCTGGGCAGTGATGATTCAAGAGAGAATTTAGGTGTGACTGCTGGAAAGCGACTCAAAACAAGCTGCCAACATAGTGGTTCACTAAAAAGGACTGATCTTTGAACCTTGCCAGAACCTGGACGACACCCTTCCTGCTGGATGCTCCTCTGTCTGATGAGTATCATGCTCTTCCTACCTCCTCTCAGGTATTCTTCACGTAGATCAGCTGCAGAACTACTTCTGCCTTTGCTCTCCCTCCACTTGTCACTAAGATCCAGTTCCATCTTCAGCTATGATTAAAGTTGAAAGGTTATTTATAGCTGTAGTTCTGCATTTGCTAATCCTCCCAGTAGAGATGGGATTTCTCAAATTCCCTTTTATTATGCAGCCAATTAAATTCTGTGAAAAGTGGCTCATCCACATGAGAGGCTAAAGCTCAAGGAAGAGAAGTTGGACTCTTCTTTATTTCTGCCATTGACAGCATTGCTAGCCTAGGAGGGGAAAAATAAAAGCCCTCAGGAGCCATATTTAGGAGCAAGACTACGCATAGCAAGCTTGCTTCTTCAAACTTTGAAGCAATCATCTATCATGAGGTCACAGGTTGTGAAACTCAGCAATGTAGTAACTACAGAAAATTAGCAATACCATAACAGTATAAATGACACAGAGGAACGACTTGCCTGTGGGAAAGGGGCCAGAAACCCAAGGGCTGCTCCCCACTGTGGCACCGAGCGGGTGAGGATGGGTGGAGGCAGGGGAGGAAGGCAGGGTGACCAAGCCATTTCTGTCTCGTTGATATCAGGTTCCCATTTAAGGGGACAGAGCATGCTGGATGACAAAAGGTTTTAGGTGGACTCTTAACTGAGCACATCTTTTTCATTTTTGGACATACCCCAAAGTCCCAGAAGTTCAGCAGAGCTGCTCACATTTTGAATTTGTCTCATTCAAGACTTTTTTTTCTTTGACAATTTTCATTTAAATAAAGCTTTCCATATGAAATTTTCTTTTTATTTATCTATACACTGAAATCTCTGTGGTAGGATGTTCTGCACTGTCACAAATGCCAGAAATGTTAGGCTTCATTTGAGGGTTTCTAGTATTCATTTTACCATTCCAAGGTAGTTACTGAGTACATATTGCAAAGCTTGGCAAGTAATTCAATAAAATAAAACCCATTTCTGCACTGATAATATTTTACTATGTACTTCATCTTTAAAAATGGAAAAAAACTCTAAGAGGGAATATATTTTTTACATTTCAAAACAGAAGCCATTTTGTTTCAACATTGAGAAAGGATAATAAATGCTATCCTGTACTATTTTTTCTTGACAAAATAAAATAAAAACAACTCCCTCTCATAATCTTAGAAGAGAGAGAAATACAGAATCACTAACTACCTCAAGGTAATGGATGGCAAGAAAAACTTCTGCTGCCCACCTTATCGGAATATTGTACTTAAGTACAATCAGTTTACTGTATTAAAGAAAAATAATCATAGCAACCACCAACCTCATCCATGTAGAACACAGGCTCTGAAGCTAACTGCAGAAAGATAAAGCTAATGTTGAAGTATGATCAAGTCTTATTTTCTACTTCAGTCAAATGTGTCAGCCTCTTATGAGCTATGTGTCTGTTAGTATGCATGCGTATACCCGTAATCACACAAGTATTTTTATATTTATATGCATATTTTTACAGACACACATATGGATGTATATTCAGCAGTGGTGTGCATGTGTTTCTTTAAAAAACACAGAAAAAATCAATTTAAATTGGTCTTTCCTCTTACAGACATAATTATTTTTCTTTGTTTTATTCCCAAAGAAAACTCATTGGCTTTCTAGGAATAATGAATAGCCAATGACTGTTAACATTACGAACAGATATTTCTGCTGAATGCAAAAAGCATCACATTCAAAATCAAGGCAATCAAAAGGTTCTGATGTGTCTGCCATTCCTCTGTAACATTACTTTTCATCTTTCTTTCTTAAAAATAAGACTACAAGTTCCAAACAGCTTCCTACCGAGAGCCAGCTAGCGAAAAAATGAATACTAAACAAAGAAGTTAAGCTATATTCCATCAAACATTTATCCATTTGCAATTCATCTTGGTAATAGAGATAGAACCTGGTAAATGCGTATAGGACTTGAAGAAGGAGATTTCTCTTGCTCAATGCATAATTCATGTGCTCCGCCTGCAAAGTGTGTAAAATGAGAATTTCACACCACAGCATGAGCCATGGAGCTGCAGAGAAAAGGCAGATTAAATCATATTTTGCTGTGTGAATTTTATTTCATATTCACACAATATTTATACAAAACCATCATTGACAATCCAAATGCATTGACAGATCTCCCACTGTTTTCATTGTGTTAGCACTTGAAAAGAGATCAGGCAGAAAGATAGACAATTTGTTTTCGTATATTTTTAAAATAGTGGATCAGGTTTTTAACAGCTGAGTGACTGTATTATACTTGTATAAGGAGGTCAACGGTAGCTTATTTTAAAATCCCACTGTAAAGACACCTACTTATACATGCATCATCCTCAGATCTGCATTTCAGCCCTACACTATAGATTACGTATCTGAATATCCCTAACTATCCATATTTAAAAGTGAAATAAAATATTGCAGTGCAAGAGAGTGACTTTTCAACTCACTGCAGCTCTACAGGAAGCACATCAGCTTATTCAAAATGAATTCTTCTGGGGTAACATAAGAAAGCACTAATAATTTATTCAGAAAAAATAATCTGAAGTTTTCATAACATTAATTTTATTTTAGCAAATGCACAAATTAAAGAGTCTGTATAAAACTTTGTTCATTATGGAAATTCTGTTAAGCATATATATTTGGTTGGGAACGAGTATAAGAATGAAAAAAAACCCCAAAATATTCTCTGTGGAAAAAAAAATCATAATTTGTGACAAATGGAGAAACTTAAAAACAGACCCTGAAAAATTCTCCTTACATTAATATGCATTGCATAAAATATTTTCAGTTTTAGTCACAAGAAAGAAAATCAATGCTAATTAATTATCTCCACATATACACTGGGTAAAATAAGAATGCACTGCACCAGGTCCTTCATTGGAATAAAGTCAGCAAGGTCTTTCTGAGCACAACCCTTTACAAGAACTATCTGCATTTCTGAGGCCTGGCTGAAATGGCCAGCCTCTTGGGTGACCTGAGAGAAGTCAGGTAGGGGCAGAAAAATGCCAACATTTTCATGGAAGTAGAACAAACATGGGTAGTTCTTGTTAAAAAAATACCTTGGCAGAAAGACTCTAATACAAGATTTTCCTTAGTGTCCTTTATATTGTGTTAATTATTGCTTTTCTTTCCAATCTGCAAGTGTAATTTAGGTTATTGCTTGTTAGCTCCACCTATTGTCTTGATATTGCTCAAAATACATAAAATGAATAGAATTCTCCTTTCCACCTCCCAGCCAATTAAATTTTTGAACATAACTAAATATCAGAAATATTTTGGGCATAAACATAGGCATCTAATACAATTTAAATGTAAACCTTGGTTCTTGGATTATTAGAGTACATGGGAAAAAATGCTCAAGAGCATTAAACTCGCTCCCCCCCACACTTCCTGTACGAATTTTTATTTACATATGCTAGCCCATCAACTCTTTACTCCAATATTTAATATTGCAGCTTCTTAGCAGAAACGAAAATGTACAGAATGCAGTTATTTAGCTTTTGGATAGTGAACTCTAGGCTATCTTCACTTCTCAAAAATATCCTCGCCTCCTTCCCTGTTGCTCTTCATATTAACCCTTTGCTATTTGTTTTAATAATTTTTTGTGATGTTATTTCTATGTCTTCTATCTGATCAAATGTTGAGTACTCATAAAATCTCATAAAATAAAAAGAAAAGGAATTCTAATTTTCTTTAAGATGCCTTTTAATCCAGTGAGACTAATTTCACTCTTGCAACTTCCTTGTTATTAAGATCCAACTCCTTGACAATTTTTAATTTATTTCAAAGAAACAATCCAAAGCTTCTTGGAAATTTAATTTCCCTTACTATGAAGTACAGTTGACTGACTGCTCAAAGTTTGCTGTTTTAGAATACAAAATGCTTCTTAATAACAAGGAATGCTTCCCATTCCCTGTGAAAGAAACCATGGCCCTAGATTAATTCATCCAATATCATAGGAGTTTATGCTGAGAGGATTTAGATTACATTTGTTGTATTATCGTTATTTTGATGAGTTCCTAATCCAGACAGCAAACTGGAAAACTTTGACAACAGCTCTGATACTCAATGTGGTACTTGGGTGCAAAACAAAGATCAACGATAAACTTCTGTTTCTGAAGCATTATAGTCTCACCTCATCTTTAGTTTTGCTTTGTAGAAGGGAATAGGTTAAAAGTTAGGGCTACAATATTCAGAGTCCATAGGCAGACTCAGGAAGTTACAAACACTGCGCTTTTAGAACATAATCTCAATATCTAGATAAATACAGAGCTTTCCCTGCCAAGGAAAGCTGACATCAAAGCAACTTAATAATTCCAGTTAAATTCAAAGCATGCACGCCCTATAGTTTCTGCAGTTACATCAAATGCAACCGATGATGCCTGTTGTGACGACTGAGCGACCTATAGCGGCATTGTGATTAAAATAAATGTTTTGAGTGTTTTGGAGTATCAACTAATTTTCAAGACAACATATTCATGTTAAAATTGAAATGTTTGAGATACAATTTTACCCTGAAATTATTATAAAATATATGGGAAAAAATGGACAAAAACTTTGATAATGGAAAAATAGGTTCCAGAAATTGAGAAAATTAAGAAATTCATCTACTCTTCTGCCTTGACATATTTAGCATGAAGTTCCTCTTCCCCACCTCCCGTTTTAAACAAAGGGTAGGTAGATTGATGATGACACTGACTATAGCTCTTTTTCTTCACTAAAACAAGCAGTTAAAACTAGCTGGCATAGGAATGGCTTTTTTGGACACTTTTGCATCTTCCCACATTTCAGACTCCAATTTAAAAGAAAGATATTTTAAAGTTTGGTACTTTGTGCATATTGTAAGCAAGCTAGTAGAATTTAGAGTAATATATACTTTATTCCTATAAAATATATGAAGCAATAAAAGTTGATTACTCATTAAGAATCTTCACTCTAACAATCTCTGTATACACCTCAAGTATGGCTTAATTAACTGTACTTTTCTTAATTTTAACAGGGATTTTAAGAACAAAGCTACTTGTCCTACTAATTTTCAGACTCTTAAGATGCAACATACACATACTGACTTTTTTTTTTTTTAAAAAAAAAGCATTTTTTACCTTACTAGAAGCAGCTCTTCCAGGTTTTCCAGACTTTTCACTTTTAAGGTCTGATTCTGACTTGGAATCTGAAGAACTTTCTTCTGATGAACTGGACTCTGAATCTGAGGAACTGGATGTGCTTCTTTTCTTGGTGATCCCCTTTGCTTTCTTTTTATTGTCCTCCGAATCACTATATATAACATAAAACAAACAAACAAACAACAACAAAAAACACTTTTATGCAAGAAAAAGATACAAATATAAAACCCCAAAATATGTACTTGGGACATATTGCGTTCCACGTTAACATTTCAAAGTTTTACTAAATGGATTTTAAGTCAATATTTTTTCACAATAATGGAAACTTGGCTGAGGTAACAAGTGTTTTTTTTGTTTGTTTTTTTAAAAATGGAACACAAAACCATCCTATCACATAACAAAACATATCATCATAGATAATCTAAGAAGGGGGAAGATCAAACAAAAATATTAATGTGTGTGCATTATCTTGTGATATTTCAGAAAAAAGTTCAGGCATTCTGTTAAGTGAAAGGACCTTGAGGCTACTCCATCTATGGTTAATAGAATCCTGAGGGGTTTATATGATAATTTTGCCAAATAACTTCTTTTTTAAAAAACATGAATTTTAATTTGCCTGAAACTTTCAAAACCGAACCATCTAAAAAGGAGGCCTACAAATGCCTACAAATATTTCAACATTAAAGAATTTATAGAAAAGAACTATTACAATGTTACATTCTGATGCCTTTGGTCACACCGAGTAGCTTGCAGCTGGCAGACCCAGAGACTTCAAGGGATGTTTTTCTTCATAGTGCAGTTCCACTCACCATGGCAATGCTGGATTGTGTTTTTCTAGGTTAAGAGCTACTGAATATTGTAAGAAAGATCCACTCTATTCATTTCTAGTAATAGGATCACTACAAATTTGTATATTACTCTCTTGTCTCTGGAGGGAGCTAGTAATTGGAAATACCATTGGAAATACAAATTTTCTAATAGTTATCATGGGGCAAATAAATATATAAATCAGTACTGCATATGGAAATAAAATATCCTTTCTTGGCCCTGCAGGCCATCAATTTATTTTTTGAAATCAGCTTCCTCCCCAAGAAAAATCAATTGGATACTAAAATGCTTTAAGAGTAACAAGGTCAATGATAATTAAACAAACCCAGTTTACTCAACTATTAAGAGTTCCTTTGGAGAGAAAATTAAGTTATACATTTTTGATCAGCTTTAGGAGCAGTATAAAAGAATATACTATGATATGACACTATTTCAGATAACAGTTTTAAAAGGGAAAAATACAGGGAAGGTAAATTGAAAAATATAATAGAATGAAAGTTAGGGGGAGCATTTCCTCTTCCCAATAATTTGCTAGGATGCAACTAACAAATTTGACAAAGACATTAAAAACAATATTAAAACTTAATCCATCATAACAATGCCCCACCCATGTAATTAAAGTTCACCTCTAAAAATGAAATTTTAGCAGTCAAAGGAAGTTTTTCTGAAATCAGGAAACTTTAAGCTTGTGAATCTAAAAATGAAACAGGAGTACGTGCCAAAAATGTGGTGCAGCACATCTGACACTAAAAATCACAGTGAAAAAATATGAACTATCAGAATGAAGTTGCATATACGACAAACATACATTTCCTTAAAAACCTATCTGAGGTCATAGATAAAAAGTATCTAAGATAAAAACAAGTAACATCCCCAAAGTTTCTCCTTCATTATTACTATGCAGGTAGTAACAAAACTGCCTACATTTCCTTATCACAGAGCAGGAATAGCTGTAGCTACATCAACAAATAAGCTGCTGAGAACTCATTAAATATTTTTATCTGAAAAGCAAGTTGTTGCTCAAAACACACAGCTTATCTTGAAAACAAGGTCTGAAGACAAAACAGACACACATACATCAGCCAGTTTTGATGCGTAATTGCCGTTTACCTTTCTGCTTAAAATTTCAGATGTTATTGTAATGAAAACAATTTACTGGTAACTAGCTTTTTAATTTTGTGATGATGAAAAGCCTGTATTAATTTAACCCACAGATTTCATTTGTTCTGAACAGGAAAAACAATATAAATCACTTTTAAAATCATTAAAACCTGACTTAAATTAATAAAGTAATAATTAGGGCATTATGCTGTGTTTGTTATGGAAGTGGCAAGGTGAGCTGCTTTAATTACTGTCTGTAATAAAAGGAGCAGAGTGCGTAGTGCGCCCCAACCAGCGCTCTCAGCCACGACTGAGCGGAGCTGCAAACTCATCAAGGGAGCTGGCAGCCAACTGCAGAGTAAAGGGCCATCATGTCCGCAAAGGCCACTTGCTGACAGCACTGGAAGGAAGGGATTCCTACAATTCAAGGTATTAGCCCCAATTACTCAAAATTTTAATGATACTTTAATACACAATAATGCTGTTGATATCGGGCAATCTTAAAAGGCACTAACACTTTAAGTATCTTATGATTGTTTCTCTTCACAGCCCATGCCTGTAATATTTGGATCATAATCTTTTTGATATAACATTATTTAGAAAAATCAATTGTCTTAGTTACATAATGACAAAGTGTTGAAGGACTTAATTTTAGCGCTCAGCAAAATTTCTGCAAAAGGTAATTGTTTCATACAACTGTGTGATCACTAATTCAGCCTCCCAAAGTTACATCAATTTTCAGAAAGCCACTCATGATTTTACTGAAGTCAAGAATGAATTCCAAACATAAGAGTAGTCTTATTAATGAAATTATGAACCCAGTTCATACTAAATACATACAAATGAAAAAGCATATACGGGAGGGGAAAAAAAATGAAGAAAAAGTCAAGGAACCTAATTGAATGCTTAGCAGACTGCTTACAGCAAGAATGCTCTAAAGCCTAGTAATATCCCCCCATTTTTTTTTCCTTAAACACACATATGCACACCTACCTTTTCTCAGCTGTTCTAGATGTTTTCTTTCCTGTACTTTCTTTGCTGTCTGATTCACTGTCACTCGATTCTTCACTGGAAGAGGAACTCCCACTACTCTCATCGCTACTGCCTTCCTCCTTTTCTTCCTTCTCACTTTCACTGCCAGACTCGCTCTCTGACATTAAAACAAAACAAAAACAAACTTTTACATGTGTTTCTAGATATTTTACATAATTTTTACTTTCAAAATCCAAATTAATTTTAAAATAAATGCTATATTAGCATTTTGAGATCTAGTTGGAAGTTTTATTTACCCAAGACAAAAACAGATGATAAAAATCACATTTCCCCCCCTAAAATTTGCAAACTTTTGTTGTTTTAAAACCTTTAATCGTTAGCATACAGTGCCGTGCTTTACTAAATTAGTAACCCCTAATAATAAATTAGTCGTAATGTGGATCCATGCCAATGTCTTCACAATTGCATAACCCTATCAGGAGATGGAGATGACCTCAAATTCTTTAATCTATATCTTCACTTTACTGCAAGATTATTTTAAACCAATTACTTAATCTATTCTTGACTACTGATAGTGATGATGATTAAACCACTGATTTAAACAATTTATGCAGCCTTTAATTAATCCTATAGCTAAGAAGATGCTAAAATATCCTAAGTGAATATGTTCCTGCTTCAAAGATCATTAATTTCCATGATACAATTCTTAAATACTTTTTTTCCTCTACTTATTTCTTCATCTTAGGAGTCAGAGTGAAGAAGCTCCACATTCAGATTTGAAAGTCTCTCTCTTCCATTCAACAAGATGCAGCCAATTCTTTCAGGTCTGTAATGCTAAGTGCTGGCCCTGTCTAAACTCTGGATGTGGCATATCTCCTCAGCTCTGAAGTTTAGACAGGGCCGATGAGAATCTTGTTATTTCACATAGAAATCAGGGAACCGCTTGTCTAGCATTAGCAGTTGTCTATGCTACAGACACATAAAGTTAGCTTCCCACCCACCTGTTGAACTGGTGCTGGCAGATTCATCTTCCCCCTCTTTTGATTCAGAGTAAAACTTTTCAGCAGGTTTCTCTGTCTTACCTAGAAATATAGTCCATTCTTTTGTCTGTAAATAAATTTTAATTTAAGTTTACTTTTATAGCCAGCAATATAGACACACATTGTGGCAAAGAAAAACTCCTGCAGTTGTAGTATTAGGCAGTTTCTAAATAAATGTTCTAAGCAAGATGAGAGAAACTATTAAACTTCCTATTTTCTTACACAATTAGGAGCACTAAAAGTTTTGTACATACCTATAAAAGGTGAGATACCTCTATTAGGGAGATCAGAAGAAGATTTACTAAAGTGGATTAAAAGTATCAGTAACCATAAATAAACGTCTACGCCAAAGAACTGAAGTATGAGAGCTATATCTCTGAATCCAGCTCAGTTTAGCCTATGACTAGGCTGAAGGGAACAAAGGGTAAATACAGCCAGTCACCATCTTTATCATTCCAAATTTTAAGGTGAAAACATTGGTGGGTCCAGTGGTCAGCAGAAGTTTCAGCATGCATAGGGCAATTATATTTCACTTCATTTGTAATTCCCAAAGTGAGCATAATTCTTACAACCAAGAAAAGACCAGAACACTGCAATATTTGGGCCCCTGTCCCCTGCCATTCCCTTAAAACTACTGCAGAAGAGGCATCGAACCCGGACTGGACAGGAAAAAAAAAAAAAAAAAGCAGATAGGAGGACAACGATATCAGAATGATACAGGTTTGTCTCAGTGAGAGTCATGATCTGGAATTAGACTTTGGAAAGAGCCCTAACATCGAGCTTGAAGGACGTTAGGCTCTAGGAACACCAGCCTCTTAAACATCAAAAGTAGTCAAAGCTTTGCAATTTTCTACATAGCAGTTAATATTTAGAAAGCCCAAATTCCTTTGGATGTGAACAACTACTAGATTGAAGCTTAAGAACTCCGGTTCGCTCATATAGATTGTATAGGCAAATACAAGATTAGAGAAACCACCAAATTAATGACAGTAAAGCATTCTCCAAAGGGAGATATGAAAAAGAAAAAAAAAAAAACACCACCACACACTCTCAAGAAGGTGCCTCCACACCTTTCATGCAATCTCTTCACTTATAACACTCACCCAGAGCTGATTGCCTTCCAACTCTCCCCATGAAAGCTTATGGAATTTTGTATACAAATATCTTTCTTTCCTGAAATGCATATAAGGTGGCAAGAAAGTCACATTAACCTATTCAGAATAAATGGCTATTTTATTTACTGGCCTTTATAAATAATATATTTTTGTTTGTTTGTTTTTAAATTCTCTATCCTTTCCCTTATTACCACCTTAACTGCAAATTGCTTCCTGTGTAAATCATGTGGAAGATGCTCATGACAGGGACCACTCTCTGTTTTGGTTATACTTGTTACAACAGCATATTTCTGGTTGTATCATAATCACGGTATATTAATACATTATATTATCACTATATAGTATACATATATATTTCAACTTCTGTTATGGTTCAATAGCTTTCACCTATTTTTATGAGGACTCTGGTCTTGGATGCATAAATCCCAGCTCCTGTACCAGGCCACAACTTTGCTGCAGAGTTTGCTATCCAGGAAAAGAAGTTCTTCCTAGGTGGAAGACCAGCCCCGTCATGCCAACAAATGGCAGAGGCACTAACAGGCCCCCCCCCCCTTTTTTTTTCTTTTAATAAAAGCTTTGCAAAATCTTTGCAATTTCTTTTCTTTAAAAAGTTCCACTTCCAGCATAGGCTAAAGTGAGCTGGACAGAAAATGTTCCCACACACCAACATTTTCCAGCTCAAAAATCATTCTAGAACTTTGAGACTTATGTTTGAATCTGATCCATTTCCAAGTGCCTCAGGGAAAGTCACTTGCAGCACTGCCAACCTACCGCCTCAGCAGCCTCCACGTTGCACAGGGCCGGGTCGGGCGCCACCTCCAGCCAGTTGGACAGCTCCAGGTAGCCAGCAGCTTTGCTGTTCAGCATGTGTGACAAGGTGCCCAGCTGGAAATGGTCTTTGGCTATTAACAAAAAAGGAGGGAGGGGAGGTACAGACCAACACCATGAGCTCTACCACCAAGAGTAATCTTAATCAGGGACTAAAGGTAATTGGCATTATATTACCTCAAATGTCATGGAATAGATATAAACTAGGAAGCTCTTCATAGGTCAAAAAACTGATTTCAGTCCATAGATTACAATAATCTCCCCCATAATGGTCAATAAAAAAGCTAATCAGTCAGTGTGTTTAGAGGTGTTGCTCTGAAATGTAGCTTCTCTAAAAATTACTTTACTGTGAATATTAAGAATGACAGCACAGTTAAACAATCCATATACATGTCTTGGCACAAACACACCCAGAATTTTAATGGTTTCTTTTCAAAATGGACCTGCTCTTAGAGCTCCAAAATTAGGATTAAGTGCATACAAAAATTAAAATTGCATAGCATCACAGTAACAGGGCATTTTAATGGAGATAATCTGATAACCTTTTAATCCGGGAACATGCACAGTAGCTCTTGTTTTTAAAAAGACAAAATGCACAAGAGAAATTTTCACTTTGGAAAAAAATAATAAAAATTTAATCTATTAAGATTTGATTTCTTACAGATTGATAAAGCATTTACAATTGTCACATTAACAAGCTTCTATTAAAGTCTAGCTTGAAGACTAATGCTGTTTTTCTAAACAAAAGTGCATCTTTTCTTTGAAAGACCCTAGTGTTATTTGAACACAATTTAAAATCAGAGTGATCAGAAATGTATCAGTCAGTGTGAGATTATCACCAGACAAACGCAACATGCACAATGTGCAGACTGTGCTCACTGAAAATCATGTAAGAGCAGGCAGGACCCTGCATATTAATCACCTGCATTTGCTAAGTGCCACAGTTGGCCAGCGTATCTGAAGGGGAATAAGCTGCCACATTCCTTTACATGACGAACATTTAATAAATGATTTTGATGGCTGTACCTTTAAAAGGAGACTCGAGCAATGGGGCAGGTTTCTGTGCCAGAAATATTTTTTTGGCGTATTTGCTTAAAGCTCCACTCTTCTTGTTCACAACAATAAGCTGCCTAATAAATCTTGTACGGTCTCTGATGTCGTAGCTTTGATCATACTTGCCAAGATTTAATATGTACTGGGTAAGCAATTTTGTCTATGGAAAAAAACAGGACAAGAACAGAATGCAAGTTATTTATGATTATTGATAACTCTGGATAAATATATTTAAAGAGGTAATAAAAATGAATGGTTATGTCAAACAAATGTTGTTCCACAGGGAATATACATTTCTAAAGCAGCAAATGGAATTCTGAAGCCAAAGCACATGTCCTCTTCTGTATTGGGGAGGTGAATGCTGAATACTGAGAAGCAGCCATGTGCTAGATTATTAAACTGCTGAAGTGGAAAGAAAGGCATCATTAAAAAAATAATCATATATGGCAAACCCACTGAAGGGTCTACGTGAGGATAATGAATATTGAAATACAACTAAAAACACGGCATTTAAAACTTAATCGGAAAAATATGCAGGACATCAAAACATCAGAGGGTATTAGGGGGCTGGCAAACGGCTTCTGCTGAGGTGTGTTTTATGAAGAGATACTTTCCATGGCCTAAGCAGCGTCTGCACTCTGACTGCACTCAGTTACTTTATCCTGAATTATGACCCATTAAAGCAGACACACAAATCACTGAACTGGATTACTGCAAATTATTTGCAGTGCATTTAGTTGTTAGTTTTTCATAAAAGCAAGCTGCTGATGCCCTCTAAAAACCAGGATAAAAGACTTCTTCCATTTTTTCTTGGGGCTTAAAGCCTCCGGTAATATCGGTAATTTATTTATTTATGTAAGAGAGCAACTTATATTATCACAACATTTTACAGCAGAATAGGGTTTCCTAATTTGATGTCTGAGAATAAACTGAATTGTTAAAATTATTTAATACATGTTAATTTTTAATAATTCTTCCTGGGGAAGAGGAAAAAAGAAAAAAAGAATTTCAATATCTTAGAAATATAGTAAACAGCACAATAATTCTGAACGGATTGTATTGTTAAATATATTTGAAAGAAGTTGCTTTGTCCATACTGACATTTTCCAAGCAAATAGGAAAAATAGTAAAAAAAATCACTGACATCATAAGAAAGTATATTTTTAGTATACAAACTCAGAATGGATGAATAACACGGGGTTAGAAATTCATTGTCAAAGTAAATTTTTTTCTTTATATCAATCATCTTTCACGCCTTTTTTTTTACACCCACTTTGCTTGCTAATTATGCAGTGTTATAAAAACAGCAGTTTCACTTCTGTGAATAGCTAGAAAATTCAGTCAATTTATAATGCAGAATATTTTGATTGCTGTAATTAAAATACATAGTAAACAAAAAAAGTTTTAACTGCATACGATGTAATATATGCAAATATTTCATAAAATGCCCTGTGGTACCAAAGTTTTGAATAAATTGGTCATATCACATTTGAATAACAGTAAAGCTACAGAAAAAAAAAAAAAAAAAAAAGGCACTTCGGGGGAAAAAAAAAAAAGAAAGGCTTCTTTTCCTTAATTGTTTTTCTTTTCCTTAATTGTTTTTTCCTCTCTGCTATCCAAGGATGGTTCTATGAAAAGGTATTTTTTTCCACAAGGTACTGTCTTAGCTCTGGGAAAGGGAAACTTTCCCACATGTATTTTATAGCTTACTCACAGCTATTTCTATATCAAGGTAGGAAGTTTTAAACAACTACAGCAGACAGAATACATGTAATCTGTGCTCATGCAGGGTTTGCACTATTTTATCTAACTGGAAGTGGAAAGGTGTCATGGATTAAACAAAACCAGGGACACTTCCAGCAGCCTTTGCCATCGCTGAGGGCCTTGCTACCAAGGGAGGCACTTCTGCCTTGAGTAAGGATGAAATGACATGAAAGGTGATCCTGAAAGGCTGTATTTTCTTTTAATCTTTTTCACATCCCTTTCTTTCCCTTCTTTCTCCTCTCCCTTAAAATATATTTTCCATACCCTATAATTAAAAAAAAAGGAAAAAAATAGCAAGTTCCTATGGAAGAATGCTTCATATCTACAAGAAGCTTCCTTTCAAGTATCATAAATAGCATAGAGTTTTCATATTTTTTTTGTTTTATGGCAATGCAACCAAACAATTGGAAAAGCTTTTCAACATGGAAGTGGCTAATAGAAACACATTTTTGTTTGTTTTAATTGCACAAATACACACCACTTGTGCCAACAAAGGAATACTCATAAAAAGCTGAAAACTATTTGAGCAAGCAAGTAAATTTGGTGAAATATGAGAGAGTCTGTACCCAATGGCTACATCATAGTACAGTAACACAAAGTAGTGTTATGTACAGGTACATGTAATATCAAATGCCAGCATCGCCTGTTATCCAGACATGCTCATTATAGAAGCATAACCTCTCATTTTCACACTGTTAGCATCTATTAAGATTATTTGTACCTTTTGGATTGGCTAATGTGAGAAGCATGCATCAAGTAAAATCTCTAGAACTTTCTAGCAGCAATAGTCCTACTGAGAATCTAATCTGTATCTTATATTAGCAGCAATTAGCTCATTGGTAGAAACCCTGTTTGAAACCCATAAAAATCTCACAGGATGAGGTTCTACAGTAGGATAGAAACAGCCATCTATTCCTTCTTTAACATCATTAGCTTGGAGTAATTGTTTCTTTAGATATTTAGTTATCTTGGACAAGAATATTGAGCTCAACTATGTTTGAGAAAACATTAGTATGGATACTGCTTTTTCCAGTGTGACTTCTACTGCATTACACAATAGAAACACACTGAAACCCCCTACTTCAATCCTGCTACATGCAAAAAATATACCCACCACAGTTCAGGCAACTAGATGTTGTTCTTTCCAAAACTGTTTTTCTCTCATATGAATGCATCTTAGATCACTACCTAGAATATTCATAACCATGTTTACTGAACAGCCTAGACAACCTGAAGAAAGCCTGCTTTTAACTACTATCAATCCAAACATTATAGAACCTGAAGCGCTTTCTTAATGTATAAATCAGTCCTTGGAAATTCATGGGGTGATCAGAGGACTGAAAAAGTATTACTAAAAGCTCTTATAAAAAAACTGAATCTTAAAGGTATTCTCAAGAATGTGTTGCATTAAGTATTTGAACATATGCCAAAGGAAATTAGGGCACAATCCGGTAAGATATTCTAAGGAAAGTGAAAAACATGAAAAGTTTTTTTTTTTTTTTAAACAGAGTTTTGTTCTTTTTCTTTAGCTTTTTAAGACACTTGCTGCCTTTCCCTCATCTGGGGGGATTTTTTTTTTAAGCCTCTATGCTATGCCACAACTACTTTTTAAAATGAAGTGACACTATCTTCAAAATTTTCACAATTCCACTGACTTTAGATGAAACTTCAAATGATTTAAATATACATATATATGTGTGCAGGGATGTAGGTATGTATTAGGGGGAGTAGAATGGTGGAAGAAGAATACAGGAATGGAGGGTAGATGGCCAGATTGACAACTGTTCAGCCAGATGATTTCAGTTCTGAGCATTAAGATGAAAAGTAACTGGACTTTAGAAATTTCAGGTCACGCCAGAAAAAAATGCCTTAATATTGAGTGGGTAAAGAAGAGTTTTATTCCTGGAAATAAGGACATACATATAAGAAGAATGTTGCCAGAGTAAAACCCTAAAGGAAAAACTTCACATCCTAGTTCAGAAAGAGCTTTCCATCAAGTCAGCTCATCAACCTTCTCAAGTAGAATTTTGTATATGAATAGTTTGATCACTTGAGAAGACAACTTACCTCTCACTAAACTAAAATTGCTGCATGAAATTCATTCATGTAGCAAGTATCTCAGAAGATACAGTCCCTTCAAGTTTATCAGTACCCTTTTTTGTATCTGAGGATAAAGAATA